TGGTGGCCTCGAAGAGGTACGCAGCGATATTGATTCAGTAATATCGTTAGCTTTGGATCATGCTAAACGTGAAGTTGATGAAATTTGCGCTAAATTGCAAATATCGAAAGGTAACACAATTACTAATTTTAATAAAATTAATTAAATTTATTAACACGAACTATATAATTAAAAAATATTTTATTTAATTTTAAGATCCAAACACTTGGTCAGCGACTCAAGTACATTCTTGGCTACGATCCACCATTGCTCAATACAAATTGCAACAGATCGATAATTTGGAAACGATATTCATTGAAAACGGTTCGGCCTTGGTATTACTCAGCGAAGAAGAATTTATGCGCAGAGTGCCAGAGGTGAGTCTTTTAGTATTTATATGAATTGTTTTTTTTGTTTTTTTTGAAAATATTAAACTGGTTTTCATATACAGGGTGATACTAAGTTATAAGTAATGCTTTAAGTATATGAAATTTGCAAAAGTTATTAATATGTTTACATCGCAGTCATCTTTTAAGTATAAAAATATCATATAACCATAAAATTTTTATTCACATTTTGATTCTAATTTTCATCGAGATTCTATTATATTTATTTAATGAAATTTCACTATTTTAATATTTTATTAAATTACTACAATACTATTATGGGTTCTACTAGTAAAACTGCTTTTAACTACTAACTAATAAAAAAGGTTTAGTACCAACTTTTGTAAACAATTTTTCGAAGTAAGAAATAAAACTACTAAATAAAAATTGGAAATAAATTAAGAATTCTGAAATATTTCGTTATATGTATATATATATAGGTATATAAGGAAAAGACTCTTTAATATTAATTTAAAATGAATGTTTCATTTTGCTCGTGCATATAGTCAGTGCTGAGCTTTGCTTAAATTTACATTGAATAAACAGCAGCCAAAGTGCTGTGTAACAGCTCTAAGAATGAGCAATAAAAGAAGAAACAAATAAAGCACCAACTAAGAGCATATAAAACTGATAAACTGAAAAAAATAACAAAAAATAAATAAAATAAGAAAAATTGACAGCTAACAGCATGTAAAACGGAAAAAATGGAACTAAAAGCTGAAAAACAAAATAAAATATAATTAAAAGTGTAAGCTCACAGCATGTGAAATGAAAAACATAAAAGAAAAACAACCAAAAAAAAATAAGAAAAAGGTAGCATCTAATAATTATGCGCTGTGAAAAATTTAAACCAAAAGCAACAACAATAATATAAAATATAAAAAAAATGACAGTTAATAGCACTAAAAAATAAATGCACATCATAAAAAATTTCTGTTAAAAAGCTCTTTTTCGATATTTTTAATATGCATTTTCTTTATACAATCAAGGGGTAGCTAAAAGCACCCTGGAAAGTAAAAAGTTGAAGTTCAATTGAGGTGACGTTTATTGAAATTCACCTCAACTGATTGAACAAAATCTTGCAGATCATTCAATTTCCTTAATATTTTTTTTTTCTTTTTGATTCTTTAAACAATATAAAGCATGTCAAATAAACGCAAAATGAAATCAAATTTATTTAATTTTTTAATGGAATTAATTTCAATAAAAATAATTGTAGTTAAAAATTCATGTTACTTAAAAAACTTTAAAAATAAATCCAAACAAAAGCGTACTTAAAACTGCGACACTTTAACAAAACATAACAATCAATAAAAATCGAAATTCAAAATTCAAAAAAAAAAAAGGAAACAATATATAAATAAGTTGATTATAAACAAAATAAAAAATCGAAAAAAATAAATAGAAGCAAAAATGTTATAACATTATGAACCATATTTGAACAAAGACCAAATCGATTACCAAAGCCCAAATTCCATGCAAAACAAATGAATTGCAAAATCGAGCACAGTCGGTAAAATTGAAATTCGCATAAAACAAGTTTCGTAACTGGCGTTGACGTCATTTTCATTGTATCCAAGACGACGACGACGCAGCTCTCAATACTCAGTCAGTTAGTTATAAAGTTTACAAAAGCAATCAAGTCTTAAACTGAACGCATAACAAATTTATAATAGCAACAACAACAATTCACTAACAACAAAGCACAGTAACCATAATAATAACAACAACCATATTACAACAACAAAAACAGCAACATCAATAACAATCACCAATAAGCTTTACCTATAACCAGAAATGCTGCAAAGCATATCGCAACGCAAAGCTACCAATTAGCAAAAGCTTAAGACTATTTTTTTTCAAAATAAAAGCGTGACTAGAAGCGGCTTTGCAAAGCAATACAAATATGTTATGCGTTTTTTTCTTTTTACTTGGCTTATAACAAGGGCCAACAAAAGAGCACCAACCAAAAAGCCAAGCATTTATATGTATGTATGTATAACCGCATATAAAAACTAATGCACTGATCAAAAACCAAACGATGATATACTGTGGTGGAATTGTGGTGAAAAATCAAAATGTTGTTGTGCATATGTGGAAGAGTATTAATGTTAAAATGCAAATTCTATAAACGAAAGTAAACGAAAACACATAGCAAGCAAATCAACAAATGAAGTCAGCAAGTGCAACAACAACAAATAAAAGAAAGAAAAAGAAACATATAAAGTAAAAAAAATAAAGTCATATATATGTTAGCAATAACAACAAAAACTTACACATAAAACCACAGTTGGTTTGTAGAAACATACGAAAAATTAGTAACCGTGGTCATGGCTGAAGGTGAAAGAATGTGTGAAGGTTGTTTAGTGAAACTAAGGCTATTGTGGAAAATAAGTATTATAAATTATTTTTTTTATTAACGATGTCAACGCTTAGCACAGCGCAACGGTGGTACTGCCGAACTCTGCCGAATATGCACAACAACAGCACAACAATACGCTGCATAAATATTAACCACAGTGCAGCAACAGTTAATAATGATGATAGCACAACCGCAAGTTGATGTTGAAATAATGTATATGCCAACGACCAGCAACGACATTGCAAGGTGAAAGTGAGACGCTGTAGTTGATGTTGACGTTGACGTTAACGCTTACGTTATACGCTAACGTTAATAATGTTTATTACTGTATTTTGTTTTCAACCATTAGCAGTGGACTTGTTGAGTAAATGTAATGCAGTAGCAGCGCATTTAATGTCTGCTTTTCGCCGCATTTATGTGCCCACATAGGCAGCCACTATTTCATCTACAGGCTGGTTTAGGCAAATCAATATAAAACTTTAAAATCAAAACAAAATTTAAAAATAGACTTTTTTCATTTATGATAAGCCGCATACTTGCATTCAATCGTGCTTGAAAATTTTATATCAATCAAATTGATAAACAAGAAGAAGAAGCAGAAGATTTTTCTGTATTCGGTTCATTGGAAAAATGTGTGGGCAGCGCGTGGTCTATGCATATTAATTAGAAGCAAAATTTAATGAAAAATGTAATGAATATTTATACATAATTTAAGCATTCATTATAAAATTAAAATCGAGCTATAAATTTTGCAAAAAATAGAAAGCGTTAAAAGTAATAGCTAGATGGTTGGCCTGACGTATGATTAATTTCTATCCATTTTTTTTTTTTTTGCAAAATTTGCACATGAGAATTATAAGTCAAGAACAATTATGAAGACTCGAAACTCAAAATAATTATAAAAATTAGAGATTCTAATTTCTTGAAATTATGCAGATTGCATTAAGAAGGAAAAATTAGAACATTACAAGCCATGCCTATAAATATCATTTATTACATAATAATCGTCAATTACCAATAAACAATGGGTGAAGCGAGATTGTGACGCAAGAGATCTGCTTAACAGTGGACTCACTTTTTGAAGTGATGGTGCTCACTCTATATGTTCTCCGTTGTTTCCGTCCGTTAGTTGACGGGTTGTCATGTTGTTTAATACAGACATACATAATTAATATGAGTCATTTTCTTTAGAATATTTTTCCTTAATTTTTATGTATCCTGCATTACTTACATCCATTAATACTATACTTCCTACACTATAACACACCATTAACACAGATACACAAAATTAATATGAGGGAACAAATTTAATTTCATTTAAGTACCTTTCTTTAAGTTCAGAATCTTTCTTCTTAATTTAATATTAAGTATTTATTAACCTCTATCATTTTTAACTATTAAAATTAATTAAATTTATTTTGCTTTTTCCAGGGTGGTAGTACCTTACATGCGAAATTGGAAATATGGAAATTAGCCTACTTAGATAGCTATCAGAACAATATCTTACCACAACAACAACAACAAGTACATCATCAACAACATCAGTTACCACTTCAACAACAGTTACAGTTACAGTCCACAGAGAATAACAGTGTAATTGGCTCAACGCAATTATTACAATCAAATATTTGGAATATGGATTACAATATGAATATTGATGAAGAAAGCGAAGGTGAATATTCAAATTAAAATACAGAAATAGTACAATAGATTTTATAATTATAAATATTGAATTTTTAATAGATGAAGATGAAATTATTCCAACTACCAGCAATGGATTGCAAATGCCAACAACGACTAACAGTGGCACAACAGCAACAACTACAACAACAGGAACAACAGAAACGAAACGTAGTGGTGTGGTTGGTGGTCGCAGTGGCGGTTCACATATACATTTATGGCAATTTTTAAAAGAATTACTCTCTGAGCCACATATCAATGGTACTGCTATACGTTGGATAGATCGCAGTAAGGGCATTTTCAAAATTGAAGATTCAGTACGTGTAGCAAAATTATGGGGTAGACGCAAAAATCGGCCAGCTATGAATTATGATAAACTTTCACGTTCCATACGACAATACTATAAGAAAGGTATCATGAAGAAAACGGAAAGGTCACAGCGATTGGTATATCAATTTTGTCATCCTTATCACTTGCAATAGAAACAAGGAAGAGTAAATGATAAAAAGAATATAATTATTTATTTATTTATTTATTGAATTATTTATTAATTTATTTATTTATTGAGTTATATATTTATTAAATTATTTATTGAGATATTTATTAAATTATTTATTGATGCAAAAATTTATTTATTGAACTATTTATGAAAATTTTTTATTAATTTATTTACTTTAAAAAACATTAATTAAATTATTTATTGAAATATTTATTCAATTATTTATTAATGAAAATGTAAAATTGAGTTTTTTAAAAAACTATTTATTAAATTATTTGTGTAAGAAAATATTTATTAAATTATTTATGAAAAAAAAAAATTTAAATTATTTATTAAAGAAAAAACTTATTTATAATATAATTTTTATATTTATTTGTTGCTACAAATATGTGTAATTTATTTATTTATTTATTATGGCTTTGTAAGCTTTATTTGAAGCATATTTGAGAAGTGCTAAAGAGTGTCGCCATTTCTTTTATATATATATATAAATATACATATATATATATATATTAGAATTATTTATTAAAATATTAATTTATTTATTTATTTATTTATGCACATTTGTGTGAAAACATAAATTTTGATAAAAGATGAATACACTTTGTTATTGTAAACAATAACAAATGTTGTATTACTACTAATAACCAAATTATCTATGAAATTGGTATTATTATTTCAAAATTTTTAATTTCATTATTTTATTAATTTTTATATATAATCTGCTACAGACAATAAATTCCATACAATGTGTAAAAATGCAAATTTATATAAAATAATGAAAAATTAAATTCTTTGAAAAGTCGCCAAAAATAAAACTGTTAACAAATGCCATTCTTGAAAATATTTGAAAATAATATTATGAAAATAATATTTGTCAAAATATCATAAAAATATCTACGATATTTAAGTGTACGTTCTATGAACAACCACAAACCTAGTTTTAAGTTTGAAATGGGTTTAGAGTGTAGTAATGAAATGCATTTAAAAATGTCGGTAATCTTTTGCAGTGAAGTAGGAGGTTTAAAACTGAGGTAGCCCAAAAGAGTTTTATTAAAAATATCTAAAAAACTTATATCACAAATTGATTGACTTTATTATAATTTGAGGCCTTGACAATTTTTTCATTTTAATTGTGAAAATTTTGCACTTGAAATTAAAAAATTATTGATGCAATTACCTGGTATTTTAATAAAACTCAAAAACAAATAGATCTTACGCCTTAGGAGTAAGTTTTGTATGAGATTTTTTTCTTGGTGTTCGGTATGTTAAGATTTGTTAATTAATTTATTTATTTAACTTAATTTATTTATTTATTTATTGTTCAATGAAATTATTATTTATTTATTTATTGAAATATAGTTTAAGGAATGAAATTTACCCAGTTCTATATTTGTGCTCTTAGCAATATGGAAATGCAGATCGCTTCAATTAATTTATTTATTCACTTAAATGTTTATAAAATAAAAGTTCAATTTAAAATATATATTTATTTATTTATTTTTGTATAATTTTTAAATTTATTAATATATTCATAAACCAATTTATAAATTAATGCATTTATTAAAAAAACACATCTTTGCGTTTATAAATATTTACAAATAAACTTTATTTATTTGTAAATTTGGATATTAAATTATCAGTTTATGAATTCATTAATTTTAAATTTATTTATTAATTAAATAATTTGTTATTATAATCGCATTTACATATTGTGAACAGTTCAACTTTGTCATATAATTGTAACATTTTACCTAAGAGAAATGATAAATTTGCTTCACTTTGTGCCTAAATAGTTTGTTAAGTAATTTATTTATTTATTTATTTATTAAACAAAAGAAAAATAATAATGAAAACATGAAGTCTATTTAATTATAAAAAAAAAATTTATTTGAAAATGAAAGAAATCATATTTTTCATTACAATATTTATAAAAATACTTTTTGTAAAATAAATATTTATTATATAAAATGTTAAAAAAAATATATAATTCTTAATAGAGAAAGAAAAAACAATATTTACTTATACATAAATAATGACAATATTTATTTATTTATTTATTAAACAAATAAGTTTAACTTATTTTTAAAGTTAACTTATTTATTTAATAAATATATAATATATATATATTAATTTATTTATTTTTTTTTTATTATTTAAAAATACTTGTATCATGAAGAATTATTTATTTATTTTATAAATTAATTTTTCATTGAAATAACTAATGTAAATAATTTATGCATTTCAAAACAATAATTTTTAAAATAATTTTTATAAGCGATGAAAATAATTTATTTATTTAATAAAACTTAAGGAATATCTATTTATTTATTTATTTATTTATAGCAAATAAAAATATTTATTAAATATATTAAGACATATTAATTTTTTTAAAAAATGGGTTGAAATTGTAATATTAAGTGTGTTTCTTAAATCTTATTTATTGTGAAAAATAACTTGATAATATACTCAATTATTGTTTTAATAATTTTGTAATACATAATTTATTTATGCTTTCAAATTAAAATTTATTTATTTATTTATTGAATAAGTAATTTATTTATTTATTTATATATTTATATTTACGTTTTTTCTCAATGTTAAACATGTAACGTAAATTTTTTTTTAAATAAAATTATTTGAACATTATTGGTTGAGTTTTAATAATAAACATATTATATATTGATATTCAGATGTCTGAGTTGGTGAATCAGCACCTTTACTCTATTTTATCTGTGGACAATTTTAAGTCACACTAAATACGGGGCTTTACGGGGCTTTATAATATGATGGATCTGATATCTTTGTATCTGCCTGTGTTTATCAAATTTCGCTGTATTTTTAGGATACTGAGAGTTGGATTATTATGACTGTCAATTGTATTGAATAGTTTCAGAGCACGATCTTTAATGTATTTTTCAACTGAATCCACTCTCAGATCTCTGTGGATATCAGCTCCTCTTACATACCATGGGGCGTTAACCAGTTTTCTTAAGGCAATATTTTGCCCTCTTTGAAGAATTTTTAAAGTTGAGCTTGGCGCTTGGCAAAACGCTATACTGCCATAGAGTAGTCCTGGTTTAATAATTTGCTTAAATATGCTAACTCTGTTCTTTATGTTGAGCTTTTTGCTGCTGATGAGCGGGTGAAGGGAGTGTAATATTCGGGCAGCTTGAGCTCGTTTGGACTTGAAATGTGCTTTCCAGGAGTGCTTGTTATCAAAGGTTATGCCTAGATATTTGAGAGTATCGGCCCATTCTTCGGCGCTTCCTGGTAATAAAAATTGCCCGAGTCTTTTCTGCGTTCAGTTTTATTTTCCACTTTTTAAAATACTGAACAAGCACGTCAATGTGACTCTGTATGGTATTGGAGACATTGCAGGCTATTTTGTCTGAGTACACAATACAAGTGTCGTCAGCATAGAGCGATAGCATAGAAGGCTCGAGTTTCGGTATGTCTGCAGTGAACAGGCTATAGAGCAGTGGAGATAACGGTGACCCCTGTGGTACTCCAGCCTGTATCGATTTTACTGAAGAGGTTGAATTGTTCACTTTGACTTGGAACGACCTTTCATTTAAGAAACTGCCTATGAGCTTGATGATAGATGGTGGAAAGTTCTGAGCAGCCATTTTCACAATTAGGCCCGAGTGCCAGACTTTGTCAAAGGCTTTAGCGACATCAAAAGAGATAAGACCAGTCGACATCCTTCTTCTAAGTGCAGATTGTATATGTTGTGCTATTTTGGCCAATTGTAGTTCCGTTGAGTGGTTGTCTCTGAAGCCAAATTCCTCATCAGGGATAATATTATTCGAGCTTAGGTGGTCTTTCAATTTTGCCAGAATGACTCTTTCTGCTACTTTCCCTAGAGTAGGAAGTAAGCTGATGGGACGCCAATTCTGTGGGAACTTCAGGTCTTTGTTTGGTTTAGGAAGCATAATGACCTTCGCTTTTTTCCAACAAATAGGGAAGTACCCAAATTTAAGAATTGCATTGGTTATTTCCGCTACTTTGGTGAGGACGTTTTCTGGAAGGTTTTGAAGACAGATATTGCCGATACCATCATAACCCGGGGCAGATCGTTTGTTGAGATTACTTATTATTAATGCTATTTCACAGTGATTAGTGGAAGGGGTAGTAGAAGAGTTGCTAGAGTTCAGGATCCTATTGGCCTGCTCAACAACATTTTCCTCGTAATCAATGTCATCATCTTCGTCACAGTTCACTTGGAATTGAAGTTCCAAGGAGTGGGCGAATTCTTCAGCTTTCTCATAGTCTGTAAATTTTAGCCCTCCAGCACCAAGTATTGGAGGAGTCATGATTTTGTTCTTGACTCTAAAATACTTGTTTAGGCCCCAAAAACTTTTATTCCCGGGTTCAAGGCTGCCCATGAATTCTTCCCATTTTTTGTTATTGTGCGAAGATATCATAGTTTTGACTAAGTTGGATAGACGGTTCGCTTCACGCCTGATTTGTGGGTCACCTGTTGCATGAGCCCATCTTCGGAAACGGTTTCTGCGCCTTATAATTTCTTTAATATGCCTTGGAAGAAGAAAGTAATTTTTAGGATTCCTGGTCCTGAGTGAGGAACATGCTTCGAGAGACTCTAGAATTTTACTTGTAAGAATTTCTATGCTGGTGTCTAGGTCCTCTGTGGTATCAATTTGATCGTTGAAGTCCACCAGCCTTAAGGAATCCTTAAAATTTGCCCAGTTGGTGATAGTTATTGATGGGGTAAAGATGGTAGCATGGCAGTTCTGTAGGACAAATAACACCGGTTTGTGGTCTGACTCTAACTCATCAATAACTTCAATGTGTACATTGTAGTCCAAGTTATTGGAGATGCCAATATCTAGTATGTGACCCGCACCACTGCCGAAATGAGTCGGCTCGCTCGGAATGTGGGTCTGAAGCAAATGATCATGTACTAAGTTGTTGATAGTACGCCCAGCCGAGTTTGTTCCGTTATCACCCCAGCTCCTGTTATAAGCGTTTAGATCCCCCGCTAGAAAAGTGGGCTCATTGCTGGACAGAAGGCGAGTTAAGT